TCAGAGGAGCAGACTTTTAAAAGTTTCGATTTTGTGCTCCGCGGCTCTATCACTTGCCAGAAGCGGCCGACGGAGGCCCCTCCCCCGCCGTCTATTCTCCCGAATATCGCCTCGGATTCACTTCTCCGCACGTCCTACCTTCCAGAAAGTGGTTGCTTTTCTGTTCAGAGAGTTGTTGCTATTCTTTCTTTGATCTCCTGTTGAGTTTGTAGGTGTTCAGAATGGTTCGATCGCTATCCAGCTGAATTCCTGAGAGGAGACGAAATCCAGGTCTCCTACTCCTCCCTGTATGTGTATTTTTAAAAGCAAAATCAAGATCGCAGTATACCTATCTGGAACTGGATGTCCACTGCCCACACTCATCCATGAAATTCATCGGTTCTCTGTCATTTCATTGTTGAGTACACCATACTTGTCTAGCCAGTTGCTTCTTAATGTATCTTTAGATTGCTGTCCCCCGCTCCCACTATAAATGTGCTGTATGAACACCTCTCTGTATCTCTGTGTGTGCATGTTAGCATTTCTGTCTGGTGTCACAGAAGTAGGATTCCCACTACACACTGAAGAGTTAAAGTATATCATGGAAATGTCCTCCGAGAAAGTCCCCTCCTGTTAGCCCTGAGAGTGAGTGTCCGCCCCTCTGCACCTCGCCTGCTCTGGGTCCCCTACCTTTGTGAGAGTTTGATGCAAAACCAAGGAGTTCACTCTTTCAACACGCACGTCTTTGTTGTCGAGATGGTTTTTCACATCATTCCTGGTCATCGGCATTCCATGTTTCCACGTCTCGCCTATTCCCATCCTTGGTGCATTTCTGTAATGTGTTTCCCATGGATTTATCCAGGAAGTCTTTGGGGGCTACTCCCTAAGAGCGTACCTGGCGTGCTCGACAATTTACCAAGCACTTTCGGTCCGTGTGATATCCCAGAATCTAGTTCTGAGCTGCTTTTTATGGCCTCAGGTTAGTTAGCCTGAGGAGATTCCCACCAGCGCTCAGGCTGCCTACCAGCCAGAGGCAGAGGGTGGCGCCCACCCGATTGCTAGACTCTAAATCTCATGTTCTTTTGGCTACACCGCAGTTTACAATGCCCGTCTTCCAAATTCAGGAGTACTGGTGCCGGGGGGGTGGGGGGGGCGGCTTCTCTTTTTTCTGACACCTGGTTTTGGACAGCAACACTCGGGAGTGGCCATAATAGACGGCCTCCAGTCCCCGCCCCAGCCTTCGCAGCTGCGGCGGGTCCAGCGCAAACCCAGCAGTCCAAGGCTTGAACCCCGGTGGGAATGGGAAGCGGGGGGGGCGGAGGGCGGTGGGCTGCCAGCCGAGGTGAGCTGTGCTCCCCTCCCGACCCCCCCCCCCCGCCCTTGTGCTCTTGCAGAGTTTGTGAAGCGCCTGCGGTACTGCGCCTACCTGGGGAAGTATTTCTGTGATTGCTGCCACACGTACGAGGAGACCTGCATCCCTGCCCGGATCCTGACCACGTGGGACTTCAGGAAATACTACGTCAGCCATTTCTCCAGACGGCTGCTGGACAGCCTGTGGCACGAGCCCGTTTTCAATTTGCTGAGCGTTGGCCCCGGCCTGTACGCCAAGGCCAAGGAACTGGACAGAGCGAGGGTGAGCAGCTGCCTCCGCGGGGGAGGCGGGGCCGGTGGCGCCAAGGGCCCTGGTCGCCAATGCGCCTCGCACATTCTGGGTCTCCGGGGGGACCCAGGCGGACCCTCCACGGGGCGGATTTACCGCCAGCCGCTGGAGCTTTAGCTTCACGGCCCCCCTTCCAAGACCCCGTACCAAATTTCCTATTTACGCATAGTTTCGCATTTATACCTAGCTTTTGAAATTTATTTATTAGTAGTTTTAAAATAAACTTGTTTATGTTTAAGGTGTACAGCATGGTAATTTGATATTCAAACACAAGTGAAATAATTACTGGTCAAGATAATTAACATATCCAGCTCCTCGCAGTTACGGGGTATGTGTGTGTGTGTGTGTGTGTGGTGGGAGCACCTGAAATGTACTCTCTTAGCAAATTTCCAGTCCTCAATACAGTATTATTAACTATAGTCATCATACCATATATTAGATCTCTAGACTTACTCATCCTACATAACTGCACCTTTGTTCCCTTTGACCAGCATCTCCCCATTTGCCCCACCTCCCCATCCCTGGAGAGCTCTGTTCAACTCTTTGCTTCTGTGTATTTGACTTTTTTAGGATTCCACGTGTAAGGGAGACCAGGCAGCTTTTTTCTTTCTGTGTCTGTCTTATTTCGCTCCGCACAATGCCCTCCAGTTTCATCCATGTTGCCACAAAGGGCAGGATCTCCATCTTTTATACATAGTTTTATGTTTTCCTCAAAGAAGGCCCCCAGTGGTTGTGTAAGCTTCAGGCTCCACTCAACTTGGGTCCCTCCTGGACGCAGTCAGGAACCCCTGCTATATAGACTGTTTACTTCAAAGGCTTGTCTTACAGAGTTGTAGCGTTTCAAAGTTAGAAATAACATTTAAATTTGATTTATACATTTTCTGTGCCATTGATCACATTAACTTTTCCCCCGTTTGGTTTCTCACATTAGGAAACCCGGGAGCAGCTTTTTCATATCAAGAAGATGTTGAAGACCTGCAGGTTTGCTGAAAGGTACTGGGGTTGGCTGGGCCAGGCCCGGCCTGAGGGGCGGGGAGGGCTGGGAGCCTCCACACATCTACCAGTCCCCTGGGTGCCACCTGGTCCCACCTCCTCCAGTCCACAGGGCCCCTTAGCACAGCAACTCCCTCGGGCCTCTCCTTGGTGATGCAGACCCTGTCGTTAAGGTTACTAAACCTCCTGGCTCACAAGCAGAGAACTTAACGTGTTAGAAGAATCGGCCAAAACAAGGATGAAATAACTCTAGCCAATGGCCATTATTATTATTGTTGTTGTTGTTATTTTAAATTGTGATAAAATACACATAACAAAATATACCATCTCAACCATTTGAAGTGCACAATTCAGTCACATTAAGTACATTCAAATTCGTGTGCAACCTGTCACCACCATCCGTCCACAGAACTTCTTTATCTTGCAAAACTGGAATTCTATATCCATTTAGCAGTAACTCCCTCTTCCCCCGCAACCACCATTCTCCTTACTGTCTCTACGAACTGACTCCTCTAGGTACCTCATATAAGCGCAGTCATATAGTGTCTGTCCTTTTGTGACTGGCTCATTGCACTCAACATAATGTCCTGGAGGTTCACCCATGTTGTGGCATGTGTCAGAATTTCCTTCCTTTTTCGGGACTGAAAAATATTCCATTGTATGTATCTACCACATTTTGTCTACCCATTCAGCCATCTTGGGTTGCTTTCACCTTTTAGCTGTTGTGAATAGTGCTGCTATGAGCACGAGTGTATCAATGTATCAAAATCCCTGATAGAGAGGTGTGTCCAGCTGTCATGGCTGTATAGTATTCTACAGTATGATGTGGTGTTAATGTCAGTATTGTTCTCTTACTGGTAGATTTTTAATGTCTTTATATTAAAATAGATTTTAATATCTCTATAGATATTAAACCTAATAGATTTTAATATCTAATAGATACTTAGATTTTTAATACCATTTGTTATTTAAAAAACTAGGCTTTAGGTGAGTCTCTGGGCACATCCATAATATGTCCTTCGGGTAAACTTCTAGAGGTGGAATTTCGGGAAACCATGGCCTAAAGATATAGGCATGAATTCAATGACAGAAATAGAATTTTTTAAGTGAAAAAAGAGGTTACTCAAGGGCTTAAGATTATCTGTTACAATAGGATCATAGTTTTTAAAAAATTGTTTTGTTTTAAAGCTTCTTTCAGTTTCTGATCTTTATTTAATGATAATATACTGCTTTTGAATTAAATTTCTTGGGGAGGAGCATGTCTCCTGTAGTTATCTGGCCTTAAGCTCTACCTCATGGCGGTGGTGTGACAGGTTAATTACTTCTCAGGCTGTCAGTTTTCTTGTCTGTAGCATATAACATTCCCCACAATTACTGTCTACAAAAATTTCTTGAGTATCCATTCTGTGCTTCAGATAAACAATCCACAGGACTCATGTTACGTCCGGGGGGAAAGCACACACCCATCACTGCCGGACTGTGTGTTAGACACAGATGCACGGGGCCCTGAGGACACAGAAGAGGCAACATTTAGGTCCTAAGGGCTGGGCGGGGCCCCTCTGTGGGTCACAGAGCTTCTTGGAGAAAAAGGCTGAGCTTGAAGAGCTAGTCGGACTGAAGAAGAAGTGTCAGGGATCCCCCAGCAGAAGATGCAGTGTGAGCGAGCATCTCAGGCCAGATGGAGAATTCAGCCCAGTTTGGCATGACTGGAATGTCAAGTCCAGTGTAGGCAGTGGCTGGCTTGGGCATGCGTGCATGGTGATGCCACTAACTGATTTAGGGAATTCAGGGGGAGATCAGTAGGGGTTGGAGACAGTTACAATCAGTATGTGAATGTCCTTGGGACACACAGGTGGCTACGATCAGCTCACAGTTGGATGCTTGGGTCTTGTGCTCAGTGCTGGACTCCTGGATGGGGGAGTCACGCACCTGCCTACGAGCAGTGCTTCTCCTGTTGGCTGGACAATAGTCAGCATGCGGATGGACTTGAAATTGAGCTGGAATGAATAAGGTAGTTTTTTGTTTTTTTTTTTAAATCTCAGTACATGTTTCCAAGACTTGAAAAATCAATGTGCAGTTGTCTTTTGCTCAGTATCTACATGGGCAGACTGCAAGAGATAGGTTTTTCTGCTGGTTCAGCTTTTTGAAATCCGCTTTTATGGAATTTTAAGTTCCTGGCTTCCAAACAGACTTGCAAAATGTCAGACGGTGAGTCAAGTCAACTTGCTCTTGGGGTTTTTTTTTTTTTTTTGAGTTCAAAAAAAATTAAGTGTGAGCGCCAGAGAAAACCACTGGCTGCTCAGCCTTCTTGTGTCATGGCCTCTGCGTGGGTGGCTGTCTGAATTGCTCTTTGTTTCCTCCCTGGCAGCGAGCTAAAGGAGTTTGAGCAGGTGCCGAGGCACTTGACTGATGAGCTCCACCTGTTCTCCCTGGAGGATCTGGTCAGGGTCAAGAAAAGGCTGCTGGTGCCCTTGCTCAAGGACATTCTAAAAGCTTCCCTCGCACATGTGGCCAGCTGTGAGGTAAGGTGCACCCGGGATCGGTGTGTCCCTGAGCTGTCCCTTACCCATCAGGACCTGGGATGAGTGTTCTGCACTTGACCTCATTTAACCCCCACCAACCGGGAGGGAAGTGCGGGGAACACTATTTCCAGATGAGAGAAATGAGGTTCAGAGCTATTCGGTAACCGCCAAGATCGTCGTGCTGGCAAGTGGCAGGGCCAGGAAGCAAGCCTGGGCCAAGTGACTTCTTAGTGTCGGTGCCAAGCCCTGCTCGGGGCCTTGCCTGACTCCCATCTGCCCTGACGTGCCAAGGACAGCCGTGTGGACTTGGGATCCAGGGCTGTGAAATCTCTCCAGGCAAAGCAGATGCACACACACCGTTCGCATTCGTTTACCCTACTATAGCGTGATAGAGCATCCCGTTCCTTCTAGAGGCTGGGGTTCCGGACACTTAAAAACAGATGTTTATAAAGTCCTGTAAAAGTAGTGACTTGGCTTCTCCATCCAAAGAAACGTTGCCAAGGAGGATTTTAACTTTTTGGGCCCTTCTCTTGCAGCTGTGTCAAGGGAAGGGCTTCATTTGTGAATTCTGCCAGAGTACAGCCGTCATCTTCCCCTTTCAGACCGAGACATGTAGAAGATGTGCAGGTATCTTAACAACTTCGTAACGTCAGCTTGATAATAGCTTAGTAACTGAAGCACAAAATTGGCTTAATGGCAACTTAATCATTTAAGCGCAATGTTGTTTAAAGTATAATGATGCTGGTGCGTGCTTGCATGTTGGATAGGAGCTCGTGGAGTTTTGGGTGCACGGGGAGGAGTATTTGGGTGGGGCGCGGATGAAGGGCGACGTCTCCCCACATAGTGTTTGGAGGCAAGAGTGGTCCCCCTTTTGCCTGTGCCCCCGTTCTTTCCCACCAGGACAGGCCACAGCCACCGCCCCAGTTTTAGAATAGGACCATGGTCATGCCTAAGGCCGAGGTGCTGTCTCTGGCACCTGTCGCACTCCGAGGGCAGTTTGAGTCGTTGCCACGGAAACCATGTACCCCGAAAGACCTAACGCATTTATTATGTGGCTCTTCACAGCAGAGATTTTCAGACCTTGTTTGACTGTATGTATTCATGCTTGAGGAAATCCCGTGATCTCTAAACTGTTTCGTGGGAGAGATCTGACCGTGCATTTCTGCCTTTACCCTTGATAAGAGCCGTTCTTCCCCTTAGACCACACCAGCACTTAGGCAGGATCCTTAGGCAGGATCGCAGGAGAGGCTCCGGGGCACGGATGTGCATGCAGAAAGCTCCTGGGGCGTGTTCGCAGGCTCCACACCTGTGGGGGGTGTGACGTCAGCAGGACTTGGCAGAGGGAGAAGGTGAACCATGGTGTGGTAGCAAGAAAGGCTCAGCACATCCCACAGGGCACTCCGAAGCAGGACGGCCTTTCGCGTTGTCACATACTGGGGCCAGGGGCCAGCCGGACCTTTAAACCCCATGCTGATCAGTCACCGGATGTGGGCCAGTGCCAGCAAAGGGAGATGACCTTGAGGGAGGGCGGGTGGGAGGCAGGTCTCTCCAGTTAGGGCCATTTCCAGTTAGGGCCGCCTCCTGAGAGTGGGATGTGGGGGGGGGGTGTACGGCAGCATTCACTGCATCAGACTCTCCCAGCCTCGTGTTCTGACATACCCGGGACTTCAGAATCCCGCGGTTTCCACAACCTTCCTCATTTCCTGTTGTACGACTGGTTTCTGGATTCAGACCACCTCTCTCCCCAGGGTGGGGATGAGCATCTGTACATATGTGAGAAGACGAGATAGGCCGCTCGCTGATGGCTGTCCTCCTACTTGTAGGGTGCAGAGCTTGCTTTCACAAGCAGTGTTTCCAGTCCTCCGAGTGCCCCCGGTGTGCGCGGATCACAGCTAGGAGAAGACTTTTGCAGAGTTTACCTTCTGCAGCAACATGATGCCCTGAGTGTCGTGGAAAAGACTGTTCAACATGCCTTATAACACCGATCCGTGTCTATTATTGATCATATTGTTTCAGATGCTGAGTATTGTATGTTAAGAAAAAATGGCCAATATTGTTTTTTATCGTAGATATTTAATGTTTTAAAAAGAATGCACGTTTTTTTGTTATTAAGCATAGGTTTGTTACTGGTGGTTTTGTTTACAAATGTTCAGTGTTTTTGCTGCTACTGTATTTTTTTAAAGAGTTTTTTTTTTTTTGATACTTCTTAAATCATATTTGAGTGGTTGTATGTAGCTAATATTGGAACCTATTTTTGTATGAATTGTAACTGACAAGACAAATTACTCCGTTCGTCTTTCTATAAAGCTTGTTTTTGTGAAATGGACTGGTACTTTCAATGGACAAAAATGCAACCATTGATCCGTTTACTCCCGGTTTTTTTCCGACTTAAATGCCATTTTGTAATTGTGTCCGTATTACGGATTTTCCTTATTCCAGGGTTGGTATAGAGAGTACACATTACTTCTGCAGGTGCATCGATTTCAAGAGGAGCTTGAGTTGCTTAGCGGTGCCTGGAGCTGCTGGTTGAAGCTGTTGACTCTCTGTAGCTCTCTTAGAGGTGCACAAATCCACCCTGCATTTGCCATCTCTCTTCCGCACACTAAGTCAAGGGAGGCACCGCTGAGTAGAACGTCATCCCTGCCCTTTAGGATTTCGTCTCATTGATATAAAACTGAATATAAGGTATTTACAGACTTAAATTGTGAGAAACTACTGTTAATGAACAATGTGATTTTAGTAATAACAATAAAATCATAGACATCGATTAAAAAGGTAAGGTAAATCACTAAACCGTTATGAATTTATTTTTCCTAAGATTTCTTTTATTTATATGCTTTCTTGAGACATGTGAGTCTGGTTTATTTTCTCCTACCTCCTATATAGTGTCTCCTACTTGAGAAGGGTCCTGGGCCCGGGTCCCTTCCCGGCACATCTTCAGTCTGGAGCTTGGGGGTCATATCCCCTGGGACTCACATGCCCTAACTAATCCTATTCCAAATGAACTTCTCAAACAGTAGGGGTAGGCAATAGAGTGGTACTCGTTCTCCCCTAACCCCATCCAGTTGTGTGTGTGTGTGTGTGTGTGTCTGTGTGTCTGTGTTATTCAGTGGGATAATATTGAGCACATGAAAGAAATGAGTGTCTCCTACCAATCTGGTATCTTCTCATCCTGTTACTTGTTTTCACATCCTGGATGCATCCAGAGCTGTGCTCCCATTCACTGTTTAAGCCAGGTCTCTCTCTCTCTCTTTTTTAAGATTTTATTTATTTGAGAGTGAAAGAGAGACCACAAGCAGGGGGAGCGGCAGAGGGAGAGGGAGAAGCAGGCTCTCCACCGAGCAGGGAGCCCGATGCGGGGCTCGGTCCCAGGACCCCGGGATCATGACCTGAGCCGAAGGCAGATGCTTCACCAACTGAGCCATCCAGGTGCCCCTAAGCCAGGTCTCTTTTAAATAGAAATTTAGGTACATGGGGTAAGATAAATAAGATCAAATTTAAAGGAGTGTTTTATTCTTACCCGTAGCTTATAGTCCTTCTTAGGAATCAAGAGTCAGAGTGGTATGTTAATATTCCTTATAACATCTCTATGAATTTATGTCAACATCTTCATTTCACAAGTAAGACAACAGGCTGAGAGAAGAGAAATTACCTAAGTTCCCACAGGCCGTGCCCAGGAGAGCTGGCGTGGGCATCTGAGTCCGCCTGCCTCCAAAGCCCATGTTCCTCGCCCCTACCCATGTGCTATCTTTTTGAGATAATTCAAGCAAAACCGATCCTGGCTTGTAAGTGCTGGTCAGACCTTAGCTAGCAGCATTGGGCTGAGGGCTTTCTCACTCATTCTCTCGTGCTGCTTTGAAGAAGTTTCTGCGGCTTCTGCCGTGTTTGCGAGGCACTGGGACGTGCACGTGTGAGCCTCCTTGCTGGTGTTGAGGAGGGAAGAGAGCACCACCAGCGGGAGGAGGTGACGAAGGTGATGCTTTTGATTTCTTGTTTTGAGGAAGAATGAGGCAATATAAACCGCCACTCAATGGGTTTGGCTGAGACGTGGTCCCTCCGCGCTGTGGTCGTGGACGCTTCTTCCCAGTGAGGCGCCCCTTAGAACCCAGAAGCAGCCCCAGCATATGGGCAGCGCTCTGTGGGGAAGTGATTGGTTATGACATATATTGCTCTTTAACGGGACTCACTCACTCTCCTGGTTTTTCCGGGCAGCTCATCCCTGGCTGCCAGAAGGAAGATGGGGACTTGGTCTTTCCCATCAGACTCGTACCCGCTGTGAGGTATCAAGCTGCAGTGCTGTGGTCCCAATGATCAGTTTTGCCTTTACACTGTTCACCTGGGACATTCCAGCAACATGTCCCCTGCAGTCACGATTCTCAGCTGCAGTAGGGAGTTATACCGGGGGACGTGGAGCGAGGACGGGTGAGGCCTCTCGGAGATGTGCTGGTGGGTTGACCTGGGAGAGAATTATTGGATGCATTCCCAGATCTGCTACTTCGTATTCGTGTGACTCTGGGCAAGCTACTTAAACGCTCCATGCCTCTCTTTATAAAATGGGGGATAATAAATACATGCAGTTGAAATGAAGATTAGACATGAAAATGAAGCACCCAGCAGAGGGCCTGGTACAAGCGCTTAATTATCAAGTGGTAATATTTAGGTCTAGACAAATTAAAAACTGAGTCGTACTACCTATTTTCTGTGTATCTCTGAGTAAGTTACTCTGTGTCTCTGTTTAGTATGCAGATTAGAACAATACCTACTATTGTGGGTTGAATTGTATCCCTCTGCCAAAAAAAAAAAAAAAATGTTGAAGTTCTCACTCTAGGTACCTGTGAATGTGACCTTATTTGGAAATAGGTCTTTGACGATGTAATTACGATGAGGTCATACTGGGTTGGGATGGATCCTGATATAATGACTGGTGTTCTTATAAGGAAAGGGAAATTTGGACAGAGACACAGACACAGAAATCACAGGGAGAATGCCATGTGAAGGAGACAGACCCTGGGGCCATGTGTCCAAAAGCCAAGGAACACGGGGTACTGCAGGCAAGCAGCAGATGCTAGAAGGGAGGCATGGAGCAGATTCTCCCTTGCGGCCTCAAGAAGGAACCAACCCTGTGGACACCTTGGCTTTGGACTTCTAACTTCCAGAATGGTGAGAGAAAAAATGTCCGTTGTTTTAACCCCCTCGGCTTGCGGTCATCTGTTGCCACAGGCCTGGGAGACCAATGCACCAATATTCGGGGTCGTCAGGAGGGCTAAATGGTGAGTGAGTGGCATGGTTCCTGGCATCCTCCGTGTTCTCGATCTCTTACCTTCACGCATCAAGACACAGAGAATGGACTCTGAACGGTAACAACGGCACGGAAACTATACCATCTCTCGATCTGTGGGCGTCTGTCCGGGTAGAGATCCCCACACACAGAGCAATGGCGACTGAGGCTACCGCCGCCTCTCCTACTCCCGTCCTCGAGCAGCGGGGAGAGCCGCCCCCCTCGGGGAGTGGGGGTAGCCATGAGCTTGGAAGGTGCTGCTTTGAATCATTGTGGGGGTGGCTGGGGAAGTGCTTATTACTTCACATTAAAAAGCAAATGAATCCATCTTGATGTTCAGATTTCACAGAAATTGGAATATACCTTCAGACCAATCTCGAGGGGGGCGTTGACTGTGAGCATTAAAAAGGCCCCTCCTTTCCCTCGTTGCCTACACAGGGTGCTCGCTGCTGGCCACACTCATGGGCGTCTGCGTGTAACGGGGACAGATTCTAGCAGCCCTGCCCCATCCCAGGTCCCTGTGGAGGACCTCAGAGGGGGAGAGAGACTGCCAAATAGAAGGTGTTGTGGTGTCCTATGGAATAACTTTGGTTGTGGACAAAGGAGGTTACTTTCGTAGACCTTTGCTCTAGGTGCTTAGAGTGTCAGCCTGAGGCTCCAACTTCAGATCAAGTCTGAGGCATCACTGGACACCCATCAGGCAGAGGAGAAGATCCATGTTGCTGTGGAGAAAGACCCATTACAAAGGCCATGAAGGAATAAGCAGAATATGGGTCAAAGTATAAACTGGAGCTGGAGGTTGAGGGCAGGCCAAAGTGTCCTCAGTGCCGCCACCCAGCCCCGGGCATGGGGAACAAGGCTCAGACTCACGGGACAAGGTGCCCACAGTCACCCCTAGGGAGGCGGGCAGGGGCAGGGTGGCAAGTAAAGTAAATAGAAGTCGGAGAGGCAGGTTTAGTTGAAACACTGAAGGAGTGGCAGGATCCACTTGGGACACCACCATGCGAGCTCATGGAAACTGATCCTTGAAGGCTCAGCCAGACTCCACAGTGAAGGCAAGGGAGGGAAGAGGCCCCAAGTGAGGAAGGGCAGCCCAGAGGCAGTGAGGCAGACCGCAGGCTCCTCTGGGGAAGGGCGCGTAGACGAGCATAGAACTGAGGGATTTGGTCGGGGAGGAAGCCAGAAAGGTTAGCAGGACCTAGAACGTGGAGCCTAGTGAACATGTAGCCAGTAAGCATGACGGGCTTTGGACCCTACAGGAGGCAGGAAGCTTTGAAGGATTTGGGGGGAGAGAGGCTCACAACTCAACCTCTACACAGGAAGATAATGCTGGGTCCAGGTTGAGGATGGATGGGAGCCGGGAACTGTAGGCTGCCCAGCTGATGAGATGAGGCTCTGAGCCAGGGCTGCCATGGAAGAAATGAGAAGGGAAAGATGCTTGAAAAGGCGGGGAAGAACTGGCGGGAGGGGAACGAGGCACTCGTTCTCAGGCATAAACTTCGGGGGAACCTGAAAACTCAAGATTCAAGAGAAATCATGTTTTGTGCAATATTTTTTAAAAGTTAATGTCAAAAAACTCATGATGAACAAAATATCAACATTTCAAATAGAGAGAGGATCCTACAGGGCGCTGGCTCACCTCGGCCTCACGCGGCTGCCCCGAGCCCCAGCCGGGGTAGGAATGGGGGGCACGCAGGAGACACTGTGGCCACGGGCAATATGTTGAAAACCGAGGCAGTTGGGCGGGAGGTAGGAGGGGAAAGGCCCCCACGAACTTTGCAGAGCCCATACCAAAAAGCAAATGCAGGCCCATACACCAGATAGTTAAATATGTAAAAATTACACAAGATTTCTTTTATCCTCCTACCGTGATGAATTGCTCTTCATCAGGACCCGGGGAAGGCAGGTTCGAATTCAGAACGTCCCACTCCTTGGTGCTGAGGCCTGGCCTCTTTCCCTTGCCCTCTCTGGCTCCATCCCACAGGTTGCTGCTCCCTGGTCTGGTGGGGACAACACAGTTCGCCTTCAAGAGACTGGACCATGGGCAAGGTCCTGACTGTCCTCTGTAAGTGGTCTGGGGCCACAGGGCATGCAATTTGGGGGTGCCCCGAGCACCGTCTGAAAGGGGAGGGGCAGAGGCTTTGTTCCATCACCTGTGGGGAGGGACAGAGCCAGAGGAAGGCCACAGGGCAGGGCACACAGTGACCACAGGCGGGGGGGGCTCAGGCAGGACAGCAGCAGCGGGGAGGCAGGAACACAGCAAGATAAGCGTGGTAGGGGCAGCCCTGGGACCGAGAAACCTGGAGACTCAGGCAGAGGCCTGGAAAGTGCAGAGGAAAGTGCAGAATTGATCTAAGCCCTATGGCTAATTCCTTGGATTCTTAGTCCTCTTGACTAAGAGCTGCCCCTAAGTGTGGAAGCGGAAGAGGTGGTTTTTCTGTTTTACACTGAGGTTTCCCAATTATGTTTTCAGTCTACCTGCGGCGACGTCCCTCACAAAAGCACTATTTGAGTT